AGTTAAAAAATGAAGGGTTTAAAATAATTGATGGAGTACTAATAGCAACATTCTTATTTTAATGTTGAATTAGAATTTTTAACAGATTTTTCACATCATCGGCTATTTGATAGGATGTTCCGGCGGATGTTTTAAAGGTCGTCGAGACATGCACTAGGAAGCCTGTCAAAGTTGTTCTTGGGTCTGGGTTGGAGTTCACTTTCTAAGCTTTTTTTTCTTTTTCTTTTTTTTAAATTTTTTTTATTTTATTGAATTTTAATTTAATGAAAAATTTGAGTAAACATTAAAAATAGCCTTATAAATTAAAACTTAATATAAAAAAAAAATTTAAAATCATCTTTTTTAATTTTTTTTAATATAACAGTGATATTATGTTATTAATATCATTAAAGAATAATTTATTTATTTATTTATTTATCTTTCATGCATATGTGGCAAAGAAATTGTATTTGAAAAATGGAATTGACCCTTCATATCATGTAACTTTATTATTTGTTGGCAATACTTCATTATTGTTATCACCATTAATTTTTACTCATTTTTAGAATATCTTGAGCTAACTCTCTGAAAATTTGTATGACAAATTGTTTTGAAGGGTTAAGTATCAAATTGACATATATAAATTTGATATTTTTAAAAAATCACCCTACTTAATATGTCAAATTTATTATTTTATTAGTTTTATTTTAAAATTTATTTACCTTATTATTTTTTTTAACACTTCTATAGGTCTTTGCAATTAAAATAATGAAAATAAAATAATTTGACATTCTCGTTTTGTTTTGTCAAAATGAGCATTGTTCAAAACATGCCAAATGCCATCTCATTTTTTTACGAGTTTGGGTGGAGCAGAAGTGCATGCACGTCTCAAAAGTGCCACATAATGCATTTATGCATTTATGCCAGTGTTCAATTGAAGCTATACCCACGAAGCTAATCACAGTCAGGGCCGGCTCCAAGGCTTGGTCATGAGTGTCATCCGAACCCTCTGGTTGAATTTTTTTATTTATTTATTATATAAATATTAGATTTTAGGAAAAAAATTAGTAATTAAACCCACTAAAATACAATTTTGAACTCATAGTTTTAAGTCCTACTCTTTTGAACCCACAAATTTTGAACCTATATTAGATATTAGCATGTCTTTTTGTTTAAACAATAGTATCAATATTTTGAAATATTTTTGTTTATAATTTTAGAATTTAAATTAATTTGTTGATTTTTTTCTCCATAGGTGATATAATGATTAATGTGAATTTTCTGTAAGATATATGGTATTTAAGTTTTTGATTGACACCACTGACAAAAAATCCTAGAGTCGCCACTGATCAAAGTGTAGATGCTATGGCCGATATGGAAGTTAACCAAACACCATCTTTCTAGAAGATCCACCTAGCTCCTTATCTTCTTTGTTAATAGCTGACAAAATGTTGGCTTTAGAAGGGATTAAATTTTCCAGATTTATGTTTTTGTTAAACTTAATCTCTGTTAACTCTTTCTTATGAATTAAAAAGAAAAAGAAAAAGAAAAAAGAAAAGAAAAGAAAAGTGCCACATAAGAATTAACAATTGAGATGGAGATGCTCTTTGCTTCAGATTTTTATTATGTTGAGATTTCAAGAGAATTTGAGAGATTTATAAGGCTCTCGAATCTTGTTTTAATGATTCGAACCGTTTATTTTATAGGACACTCAATGTATATTATTCATGAAAAAGAATTAGTTCAATCCAATAATCATAACTTATTTTATTTTATTTTATCACATTTGTATCTAAAAAAAATAAATGGTCTATTTCAAAAATATATTTTATTGTTCATTTTTTCGAAGATAAATACAATAAAATAAAAAAGTTACGATTATTAGATTGAACTAATTTTTTTATAGATAATATACATTTAGAATTCTACAAAATAAACGGTTCAAATCATTAAAACAGAACCCAAAAAAATAGTTTGATTCAATAATCGTAATATTTTTATTTTTTCTCATTTGTCTCTGAAAAAATAGACGATAAATATATTTCTAAAAATAGACTATCCATTTTTTAGAGATAAATACGATAAAATAAAAATATTATAATTATTTAATTAAATTAATTTTTTTCATAAATAATATGCATTAAGATACTTACAAAATGAACGGTTCAATAGTTGAAATAAAACTGACAGTAAGTCTCACGGGCTTCTCAATTTTTTTCAAGAAATTAAGATATAAACATAATAGTAACTCAATCCGAATGTCATTTTTAAATGTTTATTGCTAATTAACTGCATACAATTAATATGAGTATGTGATTGGTTATATTAGTCAGATGAATTACTTTATGGGATTGAGTTATCTCCAATTGGGCTTCCCAATTAAAAAATCTTATCGGGCTTCTGTGGGTCCACTACGAAGGCCGTATCGATAATTCAAATCGTTTAATGTGTAGAACTCATCAAATATTTCATCTTTGTAAAAAATCACGTTGATTGAATATCGATAGTCACTTGATTAGATCAAATGGCTATCAACAATTTCTTTTAAAATTATATTTACCATTAATAGAAATGTGATATGATCAAATGGCTATCTATATCTGATTAATGTGATTTTTTTATAAAAATAAATATTTGATAAGTTCTACACATTAAACGGTCTAAATTATTGATGCAAGTTCTATAGTAAACCCATAGAGACCTGACAACTTTCTCTAATCTGATTTAAACTGAAAAAAAGCCTCCCCTCAATTTATTAACAAGAAGGAACATGGCACGACGGTGTGCACAGGCTACACACACTACAGGAAAAAGAGGATGTGGTGGTTATAGCGACGTTTATTTAAACGTCACTGTTATGAGTATTTAACGGCGTTTTATAAAGCGCCGCCTATTCTATTTCACAAAACGACACCGTTTTATAATGGGAGGCGTTTAGAAACGCCTCCGAATGCGGTAGCCACACGCGCCTCTTTTTTTTTTTTCCTTCTTTTTTTTTTTAAAGTTAAATCTACTAGTCTCATAAATAAACTTTCTGAGATGTTCAATTATGTAAAAGTACAACTTAATTTTTTTGGTACTTGGTGATGATCTTGCCATCAGAAATATTTGAAATCAAATATTAATCGTTGTGTTTGGTTTGAGTTTTCTGGATTAAGTTTTTTGAAAATTAACTTTTTTTGTTTTTGTATTTTTTTATTTTTAGTAAATATTTTTTAAATTTTAAACATTTTTTTTTTTACTTTTTTAGATCCACCTTACTTAGATGTTTCTAAAAAGTAAAAAAATTGTGAAAAAATATTTTAAAAAATTAATAAATACGTAAAAAAACAAAAAATGTATTGAATTATTATATTTTTTTTTGTATTTTTGATATTTAGTGAATTTTTAAAAGATTTTTTTTTACAATTTTTTTACTTTTTAGGTGTATTTATGTTAGGTATGTTTAAAAAGTAAAAAAATTGCTTAAAATATTAAAAAAATTTAGTAAAAAC